GAGGGCATCAGATTCCATTATAGATGGTTGTGAGCCACCATGTGGTTGCTGGGACTTGAACTCAGGACCTCTAGAAGAGCAGTCAGTGCCCTTAACCACTGAGCTACCTCTCCAGCCCGCTAAATTATTTTAATGAGTGAGAGCAAGTAATGATTGTCAAACTTTTTTTTTTTTTCAGGTTTTGTTATGGATGTCAGGGGGAATTGAAAGACCAACATGTAAGTTCATTGGCTTTATCAACATTAAGTGATACATTAGAAATATTGAGATAATGACACTGTAATAAGTTGTAAATAGATTGGTGAAGGTCAGGCTTGTATCAGGTTGTTCCCTATAAGACAATAAGTAGAAAGAGTTAAAATGGGAACAAAGTAGTTTAAATAGTTTTGTCATTCTCATTCTAACTTACTATAGGGGATTTTAATACTGGTGCTTCAGTTTTTCAAGCTAAAATACATTTAGTTTAGAAATATTGTAGTGTTATACTTTAGGATCTATTATAATTTATTTTGAAATTAGAACTATGGTTCATAAACAAAACATTGTGCTAATAAGAAAATACTTTAAACTTTTTTTTGATGACAGAGCCAGGTGCAGTGGCATGCGCCTATAATTTCAGCTATTGGGATGGTTAGGCCAAGAAATACTTGAGCTAGGAATTCAAGATCACCCTGGGCAGCATAGTGAACTCTCCTCTTAAGACATAGCAGAGTTTAGAGCTGAGATCACAGGCTTGTGCTCCCATGCCCTGCTTGCTTTCACAGATAGGTACAATAGCATTTGAGGCTGAGGCAGGAGGGTCTGAAGTTTAGGACCAATGTGGGTAATGAAGTCCCATTTTTCAAAAATAAACAAGTAATAATAAAGAAAACAAGTAGAAAGAGAAATGTCTTTTTTCTTTTCATTAAATTTTATATCCCTTAGTACCAGTGGAGTAGGTCAGTGGTAGAGCACCTACCTATCATTCATGAAGCCCTGGCTTTGAATCCCTGCACTGAACAAAAAGGGATTGCATTTTCTTTGTCATTAGTAACTTTGTTCTCACCAGAACCACTTTAAAAAATCATTTGGCAGTATTAAAATTTATTATTATTATTACGTGTGAGAGTATAATGTATATGTGAGAGTGTGGGCACATGTGCCAAGTGCATGTGTGGAGGACAGAGGACAACTTCTGGGAGCCATTTTTCTCATGCAATTTTTATATGGGTTTTGAGGATCAAATTCAGGTTTGCATGGTGCTTTATGCTTTGAGCTCCATCCATCCATCCATCTTTATTTTATTTCATTTTTTTGTAATCACACGAGTCTTTAATTGATGAGATGAGACTCCTAACCCACGCAGGGGAAGAGTTCGACCCCGAGTGACCTGGAGAAGGGGTTTTTAGAGGAAGAAACCACAGCCCAATAATAGGGGCAGGGAGGGTGTCACAGAAAGTCACAAGGGGATAACTCCCTGCCTCTCAAGATCACTCAAGGTCATAATCAGCTAGTTCCTAAAATCACTAGGGGGAAACTCCCTGTTTCTCAAGATTATTCTCAAGATTACAATCTAACTTTATCTTCAGCTAGTTCCTGAAACACAGTCACTGAACCGGCTAATCCTAGATTTTTGATTCTTATCTTCCTGCTTGGATTTTTGGCTATTTTCATCCTGCTGGGGAGGTCTGGATTTATCCAGGTCTTTCAGTTCCAGTCCTGGTGGAGAACACTTCTAGAAACCTTGGGGCTGGAGAGATGGCTCAGTGGTTAAGAGCATTGCCTGTTCTTCCAAAGGTCCTGAGTTCAATTCCTGGCAACCACATAGTGGCTCGCAACCATATTTAAAGAGGTCTGGTGCCCTCTTCTGGCCTTGGTCTGAGCAATTCAGAAAGTTTCATAAACCCCAGAGTCCTGCCTGTTCTCTCTGAGAGAATGACCTTTCCCTCTGGTGTCCTCCACAACCCCTGGGTTTGAGCTGTCCAGTTCTTTCTCATGGAGGGAGTCTCAGGTAGTAGCACCAGGTAGGGCTATGTCATCATAATATAAATAGGCCCCACTGGTCTCAGGGCCCTTTGTTGGGAAGCAAGGTCAGTGGCCCTGCAGTGGAGGACACCAAATAGCTTCTTGGGAGGCCAAGGTTTTTTGTTATTTTTTTTTTCCAGAGAGGATTTCTCTGGCTGTTCTAAAACTCACTTTGAAGACCAGACTGCTCTCCAACTCACAGAGATCCGCAGGCCTCTGCTTTCTGAGTCCAGATCCCATCCATCCATCTTTAAATGAACAGTACAACTTTCTCTGTCTGTATAATGCTATGTGTGTATGTTTTCACGGCTGACCACTAGTCCTAGATAGCCCATTGGGAAGACTTTCTCCCACTCTCAGTGTTCCGTGGTTGCTTAAAGTTCTTTGTGATGTTGGGTTGATGCCCCATGGTCTTGGCACATGTGCCCACACTCTCACATGTACATTATACTCTCACACGCAATAATAATAATAAATTTTAATACTGCCAAATGATTTTTTAAAGTGGTTCTGTTGAGAACAAAGCTACTAATGCCAAAGAAAATGCAAATCCTTTTTGTTCAGTGCAGGGATTCAAAGCCTACATTCATGTTAGCATGTCTTCTGGTGTCCGTGTTCAGCTAATGTTTAGGCAGTCACAGTAGTGCGACTTCATGAGTGTAGCTTCTCTAACATTTCTAGGAGATAGAATCTCACAACTTACTCTCTATTTCTGGCTCTTAGAATCTTCCTATGCTCTCTTTTGCAATGATTCCTGAACTTAGGTGCAGGAGTTGTATCAGTGGGATTGGGTTCCATAACTCTGCATTTTGATTGGTTGTGGTTTTCTGTAATGGTCTCTATCTGTTGCAAAGAGAAGTTTCTATAGCTGGAGACTTCTCTGTCCTTCTTGATCCTACTGGACCGGTTTCTCTCCTGCCTCTGGTCCCCACAGCCACTTATAAAATAATCATTTGGAGGCTTAATATTAATTATAGCTATTTGGTCAATGGTTCGGGCTTCTTACTGGCTAGCTCTGCATATAAATAAACCCATTTCTAATAATCTGTGCATCGCTGCGTGCCCCATGGCTTACCAGTGATGTTCTGGATCTTACTCCTCCCGTGACTGCTGGCGTCTCCACGACTCCTCTTTCTTTTTCCCCATCTCTCTGCTTGGATTTCTCGTCTAGCTGCATTCTGCCCTGCCATAGGCCAAAGCAGCTTCTTTTTTAACCAGTGGTAATAAAATGTATTTACAGCATACAGAGGGGCATCCTGCATCATGTTTCCTTCATGAGGACTACAGTTATCTGTGGGTATAAGGACAAATATTTAGAATTAGTATTTTCGCTAGTTTGGTAAATTGGTGGTTGTAGATTCTCCTCCAAGATTTAACTAACTCTGGTAGACTAGGTTTCTAGTACCAGGCGTAATTTCTCTCTTGTTGAGTGGACCTTAAATCCAATTAGAGAGACGTTGGTTACTACTGAAGTATGCGTGCTACTATTACACCCTTAGGGCTGTCATGCCTTGCTGGTTATTCTTGCATAGCTGGGTAGGACTGTTGGTTGCTTTCCTCCTTGGAAAACAAGTATGGATCCTAAGGTACCATGAAAACTGGGCCTCAGGGAGGAGGCTTCCAGGTCAGTTTCCTGAGGACTAGCTGTCATGTTACCAGAAGGTGCTCCATTGTCAGTTTTAAAGAACACATCTTAGTGTAGTGATTTGGAATCTGTGTGTTGTTGCCCTAGAAATCTTAGACCAAAGTGCAAGGATCCCCATATGTAATGTTGATAAAATAATGCATTTTTTTCTTTATGTCTTATGTGTTTCATTTGACATACTCTTGTGTTTGTTTTTGTGCTTTACTTTTTTGAGATGGGGTCTTGGAGCCCCGGCTGGCTTGGACCTTGCTTGATTCGTAGGCTAGGATGACTTTGAGTTTGTGATCTTCCTGCCTCCACTTCCCAAGTGCTTTAATTATAGGTGTGTATCTACCCTCCTTCCCAGATGTTTGCCATATTCCTTAAAGATTTAATAGGGGAATATAGCTTTTGTAATTGAGCGTTCATTCCCTAAGAATAATCAATCTGTAGTAAGTTTTTGTGCTTTTCTTTTTATTTTAATTGTCAAATGCCTTCAAATCTAGTACTGGTTTTAGATTCATGTGTCTTCCCCAAGTTGTTATTTAAAAGCAAGTAATTGTGGCTGTCCTATAATAGAATAGACTTTAAGGTCTCAAAACAGAGTAGCTCCTTACTCCTAAGGGCCAACTTAAGAGGAAAATATGTATTGGAAATATTAAGAGGAAAATATGTTTGAGAAAACTGTGTTATATTTAATACATTGGAAGCAATACAGTATATAGGTGGGTAGGGAAAATTGATGAGACTAGAGAGCAAGGCTTTACATGTCTCTGGCTGTGCTGCACTTAGCTTTTGGAAACTAGCTTGGTTCATTCACTTTTCTCCTTTTCATTGCAGGTCTATGTTTGCACAGTGTGCCAAAACGTTTTCTGTGTGGATTGTGATGTTTTTGTTCATGACTCTCTCCATTGTTGTCCTGGCTGTATTCATAAGATCCCAACTCCTGCAGGTATTTGATTCCAACATGTAGGACACACACTGAGTGGGTTAAGAAAGCTTGTAACTTAAATAAAATGATTCTTTGAATAAATCGATTCTCTAATTAAAACATGAAAACACTTTGAAAGAAGAATCTGACTTCAGAAACTTTTCTATGAAAGAATATTTTTATTTATATTCTATCAAAAATATGCATATAAATTCAATTAATTTTGTTTTATTTTGAGTCATAGTTTCAGTTTAACTCAGTAATTATATTAATTACAGTGACTAAATTGATGTCATAGCCTCAATTTTTGTTTTTAGATTTTTATTTAAATGCTTATGTAAGTGTATACATGAGTTTATGTTCATCATAATGTGTGTAGATGCCCACAGGGGTCAGAAGAAGGGTCAGATCTCCTGGAACTGGAGTTAAAAGGCATCTGTAAACTGCCCAGTGTGGGTACTGGGAACCGAACCCAGGTCCTGTGCAAGAGCAGCAAGTGCTTTAATCACTGAGCCATTTCTCCAGCTCCAGAGGATGTTCTTTAAGAAAAAAAAAAGCATGCACACACACACACACACACACACACACACACACACACACACACACGTGTTCAGAGTCATTCCAAATGTACCAAGGTAATTAATGTTTCAGGATTCCTATTCATTGAGACTAGACTCAGAGGTTCTTTTTTTTTAAATTTATTTTGTTTTATGTTATATTGTTTTATATTGGGTTTTGCCTGTATATATATATGTCTGAGTGAGGGTATCAGAAGCCCTGGAACTGGAGTTACAGACAGGTGTGAACTTCCATGTGGGTGCTGGGAATTTGTGGTGGTTTGAAAGAAAATGGCCCCCAAAGGGAGTGGCACTATTAGGAGGTATGGCCTTGTTTGAGTAGGTGTGGCCTTGTTTGAGTAGGTGTGGCCTTGTTTGAGTAGGTGTGGCCTTGTTAGAGGAAGTGTGTCACTGTGGAGGTGGGCTTTGAGGTCTCATATATGCTTGAGTCATTTCCAGTGAGATAGTTCACTTCCTGTTGCCTTTGGATCAAGATGTAAGGACTCTGAGTTCCAGCACAATGTCTGCCTGTGTACTGCCACCCCCCCATGATGATAATGGACTAAACCTCTGAACTGTAAGCCAGCCCCAATTAAATGTTTTCTTTATAAGCGTTACCTTGGTCATGGTGTCTCTTTGAATTGAACCTGGTCCTCTCGAAGAACATTTTACTCTACTGATTGTTTTCTGTGGAACAAATTTCTGTTAATTTTTTCCTTGTCAACAGAGCTGTTAGTTACTTGTAAGACATATCTCTAGCACTGTCAGAGTATTCTCTATCCCCTACTCCTACCATACTTAGAAGAAAGGCCTTGAATGTCTCCTCTTGAAGTCACCAGAGCTGGCCATGGTAAACCCAGCACTTGGGAGGTAGAGGCAGGTGGATCTCTCTGAGTTCAAGGCCAGCCTGGTCTACAAAGTGAGCTCCAGGACAGCCAGGGCTATTACACAGATAAACCTGTCATGAAAAACAAAATGAAACAACAACAAAAAACTCAACAACAACAAAACAGAAAGAAAGAAGGAAAGAAGAGTCATCAGAGTGTTTTAGAGACTGTGGCAGCTAGTTTTTGTTCTTTTTCATTTAGATCTTTTTTAAATTTTAACTCTTCTCTCATACATTACATCCTGACAGCAGTTTTCCCTCCCTCTACTCTTCTCAGTTCCTCTCCTCTCCCCCAGATCCACCCCTTCTTGGTTTCCCTTCAGAAAAGAACAGGCCTCCCAGGGATATCAACTGAACACAGCATAACAAGTTACAATAAGACTAGGCACAAACCCTCATGTCAAGGCTGAATGAGGCAACCACTATAGGAGGTCCCCAGAGCTGGAGAAAGAGTCAGAGACAGCCCCACTCCCACTTGGAGGAGTCCCACAAGAGAGCTGAGCTACACAGCCAGAACGTTTATGCAGAGGACCTAGGCAGACCCATCAGGCTCTGTAACTGTTGCTTTAGTCTCTGTGAACCTCTTTGGGTCCTGCTTAGTTGATTCTGTGGACCATTTCTCATATGCCCTAGATCCTTCTGGATCATACTTTCTTCTCCTCTTCCATGGGGTTCCCTGAACTCCACTTAAAGTTTGTCTGTGGGTCTGCATCTCCTCCCATCAGTTGCTGGATGCAGCCTCTATGATGACACCTGGGCTAGGCACTGATATAAGAGGATAGCAGAATATCATTAGGAATCATTTCATTGACTTGTTTAGGTTTTTGTTTGTTTTTGTTTTTGGCCGGTTGTGTTTGGTTCTGTCTAGGTCTCTGGACTGTCCAGCCTCCAGATTCTGGCTCTCCAGCCAGTGCTAGGCATGGGCTCCTCTCATGGCGTGGGCTTCTAGTTTTTTTAGCTTTCTGAAACCTGGAGTAGAAGATAGACAACTCTGAAAAGAAGGGATTCAAGGGACTCTGAGATGGTGTCAGGAGTTTGTGATCATCATAAAGTACAAAAGTCTAAAGTTAGTATGTTCCATACTCTCCCTTCAGGAAATAAAAGAACCAAAATAATCTTAATTCATCTAATTCTTCCCTCAAATAAGTTGTTATATATTTCATTTTTTTTCTGTTTCACAAAACATTACTTTGTTTTTAATCAGTTACCATTTGTTAAGATGCAATAAAAAATTTACCACTTTCTTGTCTCTTCGTTTTTTCTTTCATTTGAGGTCCATTTAGGATCATTTTTCTTTTCCTTGAATTACATTTTTTTTTTTAGAATATAGTAACATTCACAGCCTTGAACACATGGGCACAGGAGACCACTTCCTAAATATAACCCCAGTAGCACAGACACTGAGAACAACAATAAGTGAATGGCACCTCCTGAAACAGAAGCTTCTGTAAGGCAAAGGACACAGTCAATAAAACAAAACGTCAGCCTACTGAATGGGAAAAGATCTTCACCAACCCCATATCAGACAGAGGACTGATATTCAAAATATATAAAGAGTTCAAGAAACTAGACATCAAAATACCAAATAATCCAATTAAAAATGGATCTAAACAAAATTCTCAACAGAAGAATTTCAAATGGACAAAAGATGCTTAAAAAACTGCTTAGCATCCTTAGCCATCAGGGAAATGCAAATCAAAACGACTGAGAGGTACAGCAGTCAGAATGGCTAAGATCAAATGAAAACACCAATGACAGCTTATGCTGGAGAGAATGCAGAGTAAGGGGAACACTCCACCATTGCTGGTGGGAGTGCAAACTTGTTTAGCTACTTTGGAAATCAGTATGGCAGTTTCTCAGAAAACTGAGAATCACAGTGTAGTTTATGTCATTTTTTTTTTTTTTGAGTGAGTAAAAATAGCATAAGCAAAAGGAAATACTGGGAACTAGTAGAAATCATGAAGTCCAGATACAAGATCAACACAATTTGTAATCTTTAGTAGATTGACCAATAAAAAAGAAGACCAGATTACTAACATCCAAATAAGATGAAGGCTGGTGAAAAAGCTCAGAGCTTATCCTGAGTGAGGTAAGCCAGACCCAAAAAGAGGAACATGGGATGTACTCACTCATATTTGGTTTCTAGCCATAAATAAAGGACATTGAGCCTATAATTCGGGTTCTTAGAGGAGCTAAATAAGAAGGAGAACCCAAAGAAAAACATATAGGCATCCTCCTGAATATTAACCTTCATCAGGC